GAGTTCTGGGAGTTGAAGTCCACACGTCTTCAAGTTGCCAAGGTTGAGAAACACTGGTCTAAAAGCTGGCCCTGGAAGTGGGCTTGTCCTAAGTACCAGAGTTCGCTGCCCCTTCTCTGCACACCGGCTCCCACATCTGGGGCCTTAGCCGTTTCCCGCGGCACCCTCCCTCGCTCTGCCTTCCCTTTCTCCATTATACTGCTGTCACTCATTTGTGGTGAATTTGCCAAAGACAGAGAAAATGCCAGCTCAGCAGCCACAGAGATTAACTTCTCATTTGAGGAAAGACCTGTCAAGCCCCACCCCAGCTGTTGGGCAGGGCGGCCCTTCCTCTCCCAGATGCCCTGGGCCCTCCCTGCTCCCTTGTCCTGCAAGGAGGAGACTGCAGCAAGAGCATGATGTGTCCCTACGTGAACTTGGCTGTGGGCATGCAACCTCGAAACAGAACTCTACTCCTGAAACTCAGCCTTCCCCATCCTTCATCCCCAGCCTGCACACCCAAAGGCTGTGGAAGGATGCTGCATGTCAAGGGCAGCCATCTTGGAAGTGCTTTGGAGGGCTCCAGAAGGGGGGACAATTTCGAAAGATGAGTGTCATGAAGCGCCTTGCTAAACAGCAGCCACCATAAGTGATGGTGGCCATTGGCGTAGATGGTTTCAAGGCAAATTCATGGAGAAGGTGGCTATTGATGGCTTCTCGTCTTGATGGCCACCAACAGCCTCCAGAATCCTTGAGGACCATCTCCTGGGCATGGGCATGGATGGAGGCCCTGGGCACCTTCCTGTGATTGTGAGTGCCCCAAATGCGCCAAGCGGGCCAGACAGGTCCTTGGCCTGGTGCAACATCTAGACCAGTGTTCCTCAACCTCAACAACTTTAAGATGTGTGGACTTCAACTCCCAGAGTTCTGGGAGTTGAAGTCCACCCATCTTACAGTTGCTGACATTGAGAAACACTGATCTCAACCGTTCCTTGGTTCTTGGAACTGCACAGCTCTTATTCTGCGCATCTTCCGAACCTCCACCACATACATATACATAGGTGTGTGTCTGTGCACATGGGCAGGCACACACAGGTTCCTTGTGCAATTAGCAGACTGTCACGTGACAGCCCTGCTTTCACGGCAAATGGGCTTCAGGATTCATTTCCAAGCTCTCTCATTATTAATCAAGCTATAATTTACGCTGGCTCGCAAGCCAGGCCACTAAATATTTCATCAGCCCCCGTGAAGCCATTCATCCCCACCACCCTACCAGTCAAGAGCATGCCGAACAAAGGCGGAAGGGTCTCTACTCAACAGAAAGGCCGGGACCCTGCAACCTGATGCCCACGCTGCTGCAGCCGTGAGCCTCCTCTGCAGAGCACCCGGCGGGGAGGAACGTACAACTGAGCCTCGGCCACCAACCCGAGCCTTTTGCCAGCGGCCGTATTGCCTAACCGTGCCACGGGGCCAATTTCAAAGGCCCGGGCTGGTTTTTCCACTCTCGCTCCAGATGGTAGATGACACCGAAGATGCTTCTCACAAAGGAGGAAGTAACTCAGAAGCCTGAGGAGGGAAGTGGGGGGCCCTCAGACCAGAGATGCTAAGGGGGGAGCAGCCCAAGCAGGATGGTGAGGGCGAGGTGCCCTCTGGAGATGCCCTTGCCCCAAGGCAGGCCCACGCCGGCCCTCACCCCCCTGCCCTCCACCCTCTTACTCGCGGGTCCAAACATCGCTCTAAGCTGCAGCCTTCCAACAAAACGGGAGCAACCAGAAGGGCTGATTCCTTGCTCCGTTTGCAGCCCATCTCAGCAATTCCATTAAGAACTGGGGGACAGGAAGTGGGGAAGCGATCTTCTAGAGCAGTGTTGCCCCCAAATTGTCCACATCTCAAGATGAGTGAAGATATTCCCCCCACTAACCTCCACAC